ATTTATTTTTGGGACAGAGAGACAGAGCATGAATGGGGGAGGGGCAGAGAGAGAGGGAGACACAGAATCGGAAACAGGCTCCAGGCTCCGAGCCATCAGCCCAGAGCCTGACGCGGGGCTCGAACTCATGGACCGTGAGATCGTGACCTGGCTGAAGTGGGACGCTTAACCGACTGCGCCACCCAGGCGCCCCGAGCCTGTGTGGATTCTAATAGCTTATGGAGAAATTAGCGCTTTAAGGTGGGAAGAGGTTTGCTTTTATACTATAGTTGATTTTTTAATCTGTGGGCCTTCTTTACAGATGTGAAAGGATGGAACACTGGAGTCAAACAACTTTTCTGCAGATTATCACACCTCCATGAGCCGAGTGACTGTGCGGCTTGCCAAATCCTTGTGTTTCTGGGTCTGTCCAGTCAGCTTCATTCCTTTCCTGCCTAACTTTGAACTAGTGAAGAGAAATAAGTCATCAAATTATGAGTTACTGTGTAAAAGAAAAAGGCTGTTTGTCGATGCTGAGGTGATTCAGTTCCTTCTTACAGAAGTATTAACTTAAATTCACCCCTCCACTAGAAACACAGCATCTTGGTGGATAGGTCTTTTTCATAAGCCTCTACAGCTCCTTAGATTGGGTTGTTACTAGAAGTACATTAAAACACTGTAGTTTTAAAAATGAAATAGTTCTATAATCAAGGTGTGTCGATGTATTCAAAAGTAAACTTCCCTAACCTTTTGATTGCCCTCCTTTAGATGCTTCCCTTGCTGTGGGTTTTCTTCCGTTGGTGGTGGAAGTAATGGTTTTTCTGTTTAATTAATATAGTATATTTCACACAAATAGTTAACTTTGCCAATATAATGATTGTTTTCTTACCAAAATGTGTATTAACAATCTGGGCGTTTTTTGACATTATAAAACTAGCCTACATGTCAGATTCTACATTATTTTTCTCCTTTTGAGAGACTCAGCTACTGCAAATTTTCTTTTTCCCTTTCCTAAGTTACTAACTTACCTCCCGAGCTTTTAGGAGAGCTCCACATTGCTTCAAGACTGTATTCAGGGTAGTCCTAGCCACTTTCAAAATACTCTCAACTCCAGGCAAAAGAACCCCAGTGCTGACTAGTCAAAAGAGCAAAAGGCAAGACCTGTTAGAAATGCAGTATTTGAGCTATTTGCTATCCTGAGGGTTATTGGTGCATCCTGTGTAAATGGAAGCTGAGCTTGACACCTGGTGCTTTTAACTAGGGATAGATTAAGTGTCCTCTCACTGCAAGCATAGCATCTCTATACCTCCAAGAGTAGAATGCAGTGCCCTTTTAGTGAACAGGCTGTTTTGAACACTTGTGCCTTGGGGTGTTTATGAAGCTTTATGAAAACTTAATGTTTTCTCGGTATCCTTAAAAGTCACATATATGCTTTATGAAGTTTCTCTGTAGGAAGTGGGATTTATAATGTTTTTAAATTCTTTAAAGTGAGTTAACTTAGCTGCTTTCCAGGCTTTTAAACTGTTAGGCCACTCAGCTTGCCTGTGTTATCGTTAACTTTTAAAGTTTGTGATGTGGTCATCTAGAAAGTCCTTTTAGGGAAACTTCACAGTCCCATAGTCCTTGCCATACAGCTTTGTTAGGCTTGAACCACAGCTGAAAAGAACCTATTTTTTGGTCCCCCCCCCCCCCCATACCACTTAGAACTTTAATAAAAGTGGCAGGTAAAAAAGGAGCCTTTTCCATTATCTTAGGTTGCAGGAAACTTTGTAGTTTTTGAGGTTTAACAATGTATTCCTGATTTTACATTCATCACTATGTTAATGAGTATGTAAAACATTCTTTTGCATTGATGCATTTTGTACCTCTCCATTAAAAGCATAACAGCCAGAGGTGTTGTGTGTATTTGTAAAAACTACCGTGTCACAAAATATTCTACTACATTAAGCTTTGGTTAGGAGTACAGCTAAAAAATTTGAACATAAATTGCTTTTTGTATTCACTTAAATATTAGTGTATTTTTATGAAACAAATTAGCAAAAGATAGGTATATTACTAACTTCATTTTTAGGCTTTTCCTGAAGACTTCAGATCTACTCTTTTTAATTTTTAATCTGTTCTGTATGAAATATATTAAACTCACTTTTCTTAAAAACCAGAGGCCTTCAGCCAAGGTTCAGTGCTTTCCTGTCAAATTCCTTACTAGGTGCATGCAAAAGGCCCCACCTTTACTCTTTTCTTTCCCATCACAATAACCACTAGTTGCTCTGTATTTATTGTGTATATGTGTAACATGCAGTACAGTTCATTTCATAAGATGACAAAACTCAGAAAATTAAGTGACTTGCCCTTACCTCCTTTAGCTTTCCCAAGGCTTCCTTAAACCCTTGTAGCTCTTGTCTATTTCCTCTAATTATCTGTTTCTAATTACCTAAGGAGAGGAGTTAATGAGTAAAGAATTAAGCATGAATGTTGGACAGACTATTCTACTCATTAGATCTCAAGTATCTTGAGGTTGAGTGTCAGTTGTATGGCAGAATAATTGTAACCTAGCTGTTAATGGTGCCAAGTAGCCCTTCATTTCAACACAACCATGAAAATTTGTTGGGCCTAGTGGGGGCAGACAGAAATGCTTTTAAGAGTCACTTTTCACTTTATGCCCAGAAAAATGTTTTTATTTTTTAAAAATGTTTATTTCCAGAGAGAAAGGGAGAGAATCCCAAGCAGGCTCTGCAGTGTCAGCACACAGCCTGTCATGGGGCTCAATCCCATAAAATTATTACCTGAGCTGGAACCAAGAGTTGGATGCTTAACCAACTGAGCCACCCAGGTCCCCCCAGAAAAATGTTTTAAATGGAGACACCCACTGTGTTTACAGTGGAGTTATGACTTTAGTTCTGTTTTCACCTTTTATTGGGAATACAAGGGAACATTACAGTTTCAGATCATTAAATAAACAAATGCGGTGATATACTATCGACAACCATCACGACGTGAATTCTGTGAGTAAGTAGTTTTCCAGTTCCAGAGAAAGGGAGAACCACATTACTCAGCCACCAGAGGGTTTTGGCTTCAGCTTGGGCTGGAAAGAGTGCCAGTCCCGGTCAACCAACCATGATCTTCGCCACAGCAAACTGGTATCTCCAATTTTTCAAACTAATTGTAGGAAGAAAGAGTAACTCCAGACTGACCTATAAATTGATCTGGATTGCTACTAAAGTGTCCTCCATTCACAAGTTGGCAAATCTTCAGAGTGACTGTTGGAGCAAGGAGCCTTTCATGTGCTCCCAGTTATTATATAGTGCGTAGAGGCTGGTAAGCGTCAGTCCTGCTAGCCCACCTCGTGCTGCCCCTCGAAAACCACCTGGGAAAGGAAAAGAAAACAAAAACAAAACAGCCTTGTATTACACAGTGTCCTAGCAGCAAAGGATTAAATAATGTTATCATGAAATTGAGGCACACGATTTGTTTATATGTAAATATTCCATCTCAAACAGAAGTCCTAAAGTTAATACAAGAAACCAAGACAGGTTCAAGAGAAACATCCCTAAATCACCAGTTTAATACATACACTGTATTCTCATTCACAACCATTTTTTCTTTTAATTTTACAATTTGTAGCTAAGATCATGAGCATTAATAATTTGATTTTTCTCAATCTCACTTGTTCCCACACTTCAGACAAGATCTCATGCATATTATTGAAGTCCCAAACAAAGCAATAATTTCCCGTTAGTCATATTGTTTAGAACCCACAAGCCCCACCAATTGATTTACAGCTATAATATAAACAAGGTGACACCCTCTTTGGAAACAGTATTAACATTACCTTTGGACTCTGGACAGGTCCTCTGTTAACTTTGAAGACTCAAGAAGTGGTGATAAGATGGCTATAATCAAGCTTTGAGTTAGGTACTGACACCCCCACCCCCCTCCTCCATTCCTACACTGACATATCTG